CCTTCTTTTCCAGGGAACTCTGAGGGGAGAAATCCACGTTAAGCAGCCTGTTGATAGCTGTATCTCCCCCAGAGGGACAGAGGGCACAGCAGAGGGATGCGCCCTTCCCCTGGTCTGCCTCCTAAAGCCTTGCCTCTTCTGACCTCCGAATCCATTTCTCACGTAACTTGGGGGCCAAGCTGGCTGTTTCTTTGTTTATCTGCCCTCAACTGAGCACTCCTGAAAATGAAGGTTAGGCAGTGCCGACTACCTGTAGAAATCTATGCAAAGGTCCTTGGGGAGAAAGAGCCCAAGGGCTTCTATCACCAGAGACAGACAAGAAGGGATGAGAGGGCCAGTTTACACAGCTCAACTCAGGCCTGCCCCTTCCGAGAGGTGGATTCCTGTACAGCTGTTCTGATAAGCAGGGGATTAGGCACTTGATACATTCTGCTCGGGTGAGGGACTCAGACAGAAGTGAACTGCACGGGGCAGCACCCTGCCTTACCAAAGGTCTCTAATGCGGCGGTTTGCTGAAGACAAAGAAATTCTGGTTGTGACTGTAACTTCACAAACTAGGGTCAACCTGCATACATGACCACAGCCTGGAGGTGAGTGGCTCCCATCTCAAGCGTCCCACACACTGGGGTCAAGTTCTGTGGGTCCCCTGCCGACAGGTGTCTTGTCTCTATCCCTCTGGAGGCAGGCAGGTGGCACCCCCGCCCACCGCCTCCTGCAAGTCAGGATTACTAACAAACCATAAAAGAGAGCATAAATGATAACAAAAGGAATGCCAGCCTAGCCCTAGCTCAATGCCAGCCCCTAAACATTCCCCAAGAACACGGAGCCCCAGCGGCGAACACACAAGCAGTGTCTCTTGGGTGCCCTCTTGCTGTCACCAGGGCTTTTCTGCAAGGCTGACATGGAGGCCTCCTCTATGAACTGGTAGATGAGGAAAAAGAGGAGGAAAAAGAAGGGGCTAGGGCACAGAAAAGGGAAGTTATTCTAGTGGTGGCCAATGAATAACATCCAATGATTTATAGGAAGTATAATCCAATAATACAGTAAAATAAAACAGTGTGTGCCTGCAATGGTTTTGATTCCAGGAATTATAAAAACATATTTTTTTAAAAAGACAGAGAGAGAGAGAGCAAGAGGGGGAGAGAAAACGGGGGGAAGAAACAAGGGGGCCAGACTGGAGCAAATTGGGCACAGATGGGAGAGGCAGTTGGGCTCCAGGGGTGCCCTACCACATATACTGCTTCCATTACTCCTCTTCGAGAAACGAGAACTTTATTTCCTTACATTATAGAATTAAAAAAAAAAATTTAAAATTCTTGGCGTGCTTGTGGTTTAGATCAACCATTCCCTCTCCAGCACCACATCAGCCAATCGGGTGGCTGCTGAAGTGTTAAATGCTGAGGCACGTGGAGAAGGCCCCGCTTCTCCGATGACCAGCGGTGACATCACCCTGGGAACCACCTATCTCGCCACCACCCATCACTCGCCAAAGGGCAATTCTGGACACAGGCCAGGAAGGGAACTCACTGTTCAGTGACAGTCGGCCTGGAATCATGGCCTTCCTCATCCATGTGCTCAGTGAATGCTTACTGAGTGCCTGATAAACAGCAGGCCCTCTGCTAATGGAAACCCAAACATCCCTTGAATGTCTCTGTCCTCAACCTCTTCAAAGTAGACTAGTAGGATTCTGGACTCTCTGCAGTCCCACTCCAGCAGGCTTCTTGCAGGGGGCCCACCTATTGGGAGGAGATAAAGGTATCAACAGCCTTGAACTTATGAGTTTTAAGATCACTGCTGAGACCTGAAAGGTTCGCTAGTTAAATGATGTGGCAAAACTCAACTTACTTTATCGGAAGGGGGACAAATCTCACGACTTCTGCCTCCTTGAGCTCCAGGGAAAACTGTAACTTAGGAAAGGCCTCTTTCACCATCTAAGTGTTTCCCCTCTGTTGGGCCTTGTGGGGTGCCTGAAGCTCTTTAAAGAGTTCTGTGTCTCTCAACCCCAAGGAAAGCACATTTGAGAAGTATTTTAATAATCACACTATTAGTATCATTTCCGGTATTTTGAAAAGAGGACTTATACAAGGGTAGCATCGAGCCCATACAAAAATGAATTAGAGACAACAGCAAAGGACATCCTTTTTCATAAGGCCATCCCTGTGGTTCTCCCTAGGTACCACATTTCCAGGGAAGGGCCAGGCATAGATGGAGAGGATCTCGACTGCCGTGGGGGGACACAGATCACCTCTGCTCCGGGCTGGAACGTTCCTTCTCCACAGAGTCCAGGAACTGACATATGCAAACACCCACCCAGAAGGACACGTCCAAGAAGGAATGGAAAGAAAAATGATGGCCCAGATGTTCTGTTAACTTGCAGCGACTGCCAAATCACCACAGACCCGAAGCACCTGGGAGGGCCAGGCAGCAGCAGGCCCTCGCTTCCTGGCTGCAGACAGCCAGGGGTCCCGCGGCTGGGTGGCGGCTCTGACAGCCAGCCGGCCAGCCTGGAGGGCAGCCTTCAGAAGGGCACCAGCTGACGGGACCTGGGGGCTGAACACTCAAGGGCTGATTTATCACTTCCTTACTCATAAAAATGTGATTCAAACTGCTGCTGATTAGTGAAGGATTTAAATCTTTACCCTCTCCCCAACCCCCTTCCCGCTCCACCCCCGGCACAGATGCTGCAGCTCAGCCACAACACCCCCTTCTTGCCACTGTCCGTGCGAGCACAGCACAGGGGCCCAGCGAAGATGACTCACATGCTGGGAAATGGAAAAGTGCATCTTCCCACCAGCCAGCCCCGCTGAGTGCTCCGCTCAGCCCTCTCCCAATGGCAGCCCACACAGTGGGGTCTGGACGGCCGCCTCAGCTGCACACCGGGTACTTGGCAGCGTGTCCACGGAGCGCTCTGTCCTAGCTGAGTGTTACATCCTGTGGCCCGGGCTGTGTTTCCCTGAAACACCCTTGGACCACCTCAGCTCTCGGCCCCAGCTGCCCCGCGGAGGTGAGCGTCAGGACAAAGCCGGAGCCGGTGGCGGGGTCTCACGCACGGGCTGCGACGTGTCCTTCCTGGCGAGCAGGTCCTCGTGAGGAGCGACCATGGGGAAGAGTCTGAGAAAAAGCATGCGGCCTCCAAGGGGAAAGCACTACTTCCTCCTTTCTCTGTTCTCACTGTCTCACCTTCCTTTCACCCATATTTTCTTAACTTTTAACTTTACAACAGCTCCAAGGAAAGGACTCATTGGTGGCCTATGGAAAGGCCAACATCTTCCTTTCCGTGGAGCGGAAGTTGCTGACAACAGAGGCTCTGCAGGTTAGAGCTGTGGGGCCTTTACATTCACACCTCCAGGTCCCCTGATGGGGAAACAGCACCTTGGCAGAGGCTGTGCTCTGTGACAGGCAGCTTGCTCACTCTGATGCTGCTAGAGGGAGGCAGGGAAGTGAACAGGAAGCCACCTCAGGAGGCTCCATTCCTCCGAGCCCACAAGCTTCCCACCTGGTGGCCCGACCCTCGAGACCCTCAAGAGATAAGGAAGGGATCAAGTTCCCTCCCCTCCAGACTGACCGCCTCACCACCCTTTACAAACTGTATTTCCTCCTTCCTAGAAACCACCACTGCCCCTCAGGACTGCATGCTTCCTCAGTGCTGTTCCTGGACATATTCAGACAAGTTCAAAATGGCACCTAAACCTGTGCATTTCACCTTCTGCAAGGAATTGTAAATGCAGCAGCAGACAGCGTGAGAGAACACCCTCTAGGATTCATATGTGATGGAAAACCCAGGCAAACCAGCAGAGGACCTGGCAGAGTCCCAGGAAGAGCCAAATCTCAAAGGAAAGTGCAGCCTGCCTGCTCATCAGGGAGAACACCACCCCCGCCCCCCGCCCACCCCACTGGAGCAGGCTGAAGCATAACTCTAAATACAAATGGGAAAGGGAAATAAACCAACTTCAGAGTGACAGAGATCACTAAGAAAAGGTGCCATGAAAGAACCAGTGAGACTTTGTCCAGAAACACTGGGTCTGCTTTACAATGGAGTCTCTCTGTATGGCAATTCCCACTTCTTGGGATTGCAGGTGACAACCTTCTAACCCTGAGACCAGACACTCTCTGTTGAAGCTCTGAAATGATTTTTTGGCAGCATCGACCAAGTCTCCTTTGCAAACAAACACACAAAATAATGTCACCTCCAGGCTACAGATTTCCATCAAGTCAAACCACATCATCCTTACCTCAGCAGGGTGGAGGGAAGGGAAGGGATCCGGTTAACATCCTTCCACTGTGACCTGGTCACCAGAACATTTACAAATCCTGCCAATCAGCCCCTCCCCCATTTCTCCTTCCCCACCTCCCACCTCACGTCAAAAAAAAAAACAACAACCCAGTGTTCAGAAAAGCATCTCAGAATGCATACCACTACATCTGCCAAACTCTGGGGCTGGTGAGTTTTTTGCTTCCAGATTTGAGTCACCAAAGCTCATCAATTCTCTGTTCTTACTCCCTGGCAGACTCCCACAAGGGATATCCCATAGGGAACTAGACTTTTCCATATTGAACAAACAGGGTACATGAGTCCAGAAACAGCTATTCCCCATCCCTGCCAAGCGTATGGTCTCTGCAATGAAACATTTCAGCAATGCCTCCCCCCCGGGACAGGCTTTGGGTCTGCAGCCTCCGAGAGGCCTTGCTGCTGCCTTCAGCACAGCCAGATGTGCAGCAGCATCTCTGGGTTTGCAAATTAAGCTCTATACCCATGATTCCCTCCAACCATCCCACCCAGGCACTAGAGAGTCAAACAGATTTAAGAGAGTACATGAAAGATCTGAAAGGCAATGGAGGAAAGGAGGAAGGTGTGTGTGTGTGTGTGTGCACGTATGTGTGTTGGGGGGACTGTGTGCGTGTGTGTGTGTGTTTGGGGGACTGTGTAGTGGTATGGCAGCACAGGAAAGAAGACAGATTAATCTTTATCTGTCTAGATTAAGAAACTGGATGTTCCTTACCTTTCAACTGGGAGTTGTGTACAGCAAACATGTTGATGGTCATAAGCTGTAGCATGCGGGTACTTCCAATAGGAGAGGGGCTGTGCTGCAGCAACACCTGGAACTCCTTGAGGACCTTCTCAGCCACTGCAGAGAATGTCTCCATCCTACAAGCACAGCCAGCCCATCAGTGAGGCACATTCCCGAGAGCACTCAGTGCACACATGCACACACACCCGCGCGCGCACACACACACACACACGCGCGCGCTCATTCATTCATTCCTTCCCTCCCCCCCCCCCTTTCTTTCTCAGAAAAGCAGACAGCTAACACCTAGGATGTTTCTTTGCCTTCACAAACCTTCCGAGTACCCTAAGGTTGTGAACAAATTTAAGAGAAAGACGCGTTCAGGGTTTAGAGATGGAAACAACTCAATTTTCTGGGTAAATCACCATGAGTTATTACGCTTTGGTATGCTATTTCCTAACCTCTGGCAATAACTAGATTCAAGCTGAAATCAAAGTTTCTCTCTGAAACCATCAGTTTTTCTAAATAGTGAACAAATTTCCTTTAAGCTCTAAGGCCAGCATAGTCCCCAAACTCTCTGGTATGAAAACCATATTCTAGGAAGAGGTTTGTGAATCTAAAGGTTGTTCTACTCAAAGCTTCACTTCAGAGAGGTGCTCAGACGCAGTTCTGCTGCTGTCAACGTAGGGACTAGCACACGAATTGTTTCACGTAAGGACCCCAAACGTCCCCTGGAGAACCCCTCGGCCAGGGGCCCCGATGACCTGTTTCGGCCTTTCCTGGGTTGCTGTCCTCCTCCCTCTCACAAGGGCTCTGCTCATCACGGTCTGTATGTTTTCAGGCCTGTGGAAATATAATGCCCTGGCCAACTGCCACTCCCAATACAGGAAGAGCCTGTAATGTAGGGAGGCAGAAATCTAGCCAGTGACCCGGCGCTCCTAAGGAGAGGTCATTCAAACCACTGCTTGCCAAACGTGGCCACAGAACAGTGGTGCTTGCCTGGAGCTCCTCTGGCAGTAGGAACAAACCACAGCTGAAGTCCTCAGAAATAAAAAGCAAATTCAAACTCGGTGCTAGAGAGAGAAGAAAACCAGGCACATGGGCCTGAGGGCCATGCCGAACAATTCACGGTCACCAGAGTATCTTTCATCCATTCTCACACCCCCCCACAAACAAACAAACTGCTTGTGGTACACTGCGTGTGTACTGGGGTGGGGGGAGAGGAGGGTGAGGAAGAGTTCCAGCTTGGATTAATAAATAGCTTCTGGAAAGCCACAGGGAAGGGAATCCTCCTCAAAGGATACAACACAGTCTCGAGTCCTAGGGAAGGGTGTTTCTGCTTTCACCTGAACCTCGACCCTTTCTCCAGGGTGTAGTGAGCACCCTCTCCAGAGCCTTCTGAAAGCCTGGCAAGTTTCATTCCTTGCCCTTGGAGGCAACTCTTGCGACTGACCCCCCAGTACCCAGCAGTCATGCCACAGTTTCGGGTCAATTACAGTTTATGTTCCAGTGCCCTTCTCTGCTGAGCTGTCCTCGTTTTCATTGGCACAAAGCATGCCAGGCATTTGCTTTCTTCTCCCTACATGCCATTTCAAGTGCCACCCCACACCACACTCCTGCCGCCACCACCCAACAACAAAACAACCAAAACACACTGATTTTCTTCCACCTCTGAAAAGTTTCACAACCATTAAAACTCTTGGTTGGTTTGGAATGGCAGAGAGTGATATGTTTGGGGCTGGACTGGATCCATTTTTCCCCCCTGGGCTGTAACAAAGGTTTCATTTTAAACCTTGACACTGTGCAGCACTCTTTCTGGTCGGAGGTGGGGAGGGGGGCTAGCACTTCTCATTACGAGAATCGCAGAGTTCACTCTGCTTGAAAAGCAGCCACACTGGGCGAGATTCGGAGCCATGTGTCTCCGTGTTGAAAGGCGGTAGAGAGCCAGCACAGAACGACATGACAGAAGTGTCACGTGGGACGGTCCTGCTTCGAAGCTGTGTCTGAGGAAGACTCTTTCCCGGGATGGGAATTGAAACACAGCCATTATCACTCCCTAGGTCAGAATGAAGTCTCAAATGAGCACCAGGCCAAATGTCCACATCGTCTTTTTTAAGTTAAAAAAAAAAAAGAAAAATTTGCTGTTCACTTTTCAGCTAGTTCACAATGATTAAAACAAAAGAAAAAGAAATCAAATGCATAAGGTATGAGTTAGAGTAACTCCAATTCTGAGATACGAGGGAAGATGGAGTTCTCAGACAACATCAGCTTTGTGAGGCAACAACTGAAGGACACGCAGATAAAAGATTCTTCCTCAGAGCTCAATAACGGCGTTTCCGTGCCCAATTTCGTAACCAAAATGTTCTCTGGTTTTGGTCTCCAATTACCTGTAAGTAGTTTTCTTTCTTTCTCTTTGCTCCACCCCATACTGCAGAATGAAAATTATACTAAAACTGGGATAATGACAGAATACAATTTGTTTAGGAAAAAAGCCCACAAAATAAAATGATGGTTTTTATGGCTACATAAGTAATTAAGCAAATGCAATAAAAAGGTCTGAAGAATATATAACCTGATGTCTAGCATTATCTCTTTGGAGGGCACAGGGGTTGGGAAAGAGTTGAAAGAAATTTTAGAAAAGCATACTATACTTTTACAAGGAGATTTTTTATATATTACTTATGTAATAATTGTAAAAGTTTTACACAAGAAGCAGCAGCAGTAGCAGCAACAGAGAAAAAGGCAAGAAAGCATAAAAAGATGGCAATTTATAACAGAAAAAAACTGGACGCAGCCTAAAACGTCCAACAACACCAGATAATTAAGATGGCATATCCATACAATTGAATTCTATTTTTTAAAAGCTGTATCAGATTTTTTTGAGTTTAATATATATTAACTGAAGACAGTTTTAAAGTAGTTTAATGTGATCCCTTTTATAGATATTTATAAAGAATAAATAAGAGAATGCATATGTGTGATGTATGGAAGAGAAGATAAAAATACACATCGTTTTAACGGTGGATATCTATGGATAGTGAGAACAGGAATAATTTTTTATTTCTTCTTTTTGCTGGGTTTTCTAAATATTTTACAACGAGCACTGTATACAGTAAAAAGATTTCCCCTACGATGAATACTTCTGGCTTTTGTATATAATACATTTCTAGTTTTAAAAAGTAAATCAAGACACAAACATAATATTTTTAACAATTCGAAGTCCAAAATAAACACATGAGTCTTTGAATTCCAAGAGATCTTGAAAGTGTGCAAAGAGCATGACTCGGCAAGCAAGGAAAAAACTAAAGTGGCAACTTCAACCTAAGCTACAATGGGAAGCTAAATTATTCTCTTCGTCACAAGTCAGAAGTCTACAGATGGCCGGCTTCCTGACCCCCTCAGAGGAGTCCGAGTGCAGGTCCGCTATGCCTCTCCCCGGGAGAGCCAGTGTTTGTCAGGAGCCACATAGCACTCCTGCCCGATTCCGTTTCCTGAGCCCAGGAGGACTCTGGCCCTGTCTTTTAAAACTGTATGATCACTTGGATGTGCATTTTGCTGGCTGAAGTGACCGCTTTCTGAAGGGATCTCAAGAGACACCTTGTCTCCTGTGAATGGCAGTTTCAAGAAACCAATCTTTCAGACAGTCCTGGGACCAGACCCGGGAGTGACTCAGACGGTGACTAACGGGGCAGGACCCAGCCCCTCAGATGCTGGGGAACACAGCTGGCCTGACAATGTTCTCTGCGGGAAAGAATCAGGCTCCCTAACTTTTCTTAACATCTTCATTTTTAAAAACTGTACAAGATAGGAGCAAACCAGTAGCAAAACCAAACCAAACCAAACAGCTCGGCCGGGAGACAGGGCCGCCATGAGAAACAAAAATCACAGGGCTACAGGACAGGGGGACTGGAACAGACCTTGGAGCTCATCTGCTTAAACTACTGATAAGGAAACCAGAGACCACAGACGCTCTGACTTGCTCTCTCTCGAGGTCTTAGAACGAGTCAGCAGAGAAAAACAAACTCTTTTTGGCACCTGATTCCATCAAACACTTGGAATTTCTTTTTTTGCTGGCTGCTGAGAGGAAGGAGACGGGTGTGGCACACAGTAGGCCCTCAAGTGCACACGGATGCAGCAGGGAACACGGGCCCAGAGAAGACAAAGCCTGGGAGGGCCATGCTGTCGGGGCTTTTCTCAGCAGGCAGGCGGGACAGTGGATGTGTCTTCAGCTGCTCCCCATTACAATCTCCGCACTCTTAATTCGTTTTCAACGCCTCCCACATTTCACATCTTCTTGGTAATTAGGCAGCAGTCCATGTTGCTGTGTGTGGCTTGGGCTCATTGCTCTTCTGGTCTTACAGACTTCTATAGTTTGGGTTTTTTTTAATTTCCAATAGAAAAATTATTGCTGTTTCTCTGCCTTCCAGAATAAATATGGGGCTCAATTCTCTTTTCACCTCCAAGAGAGCACAAGAGGAATACTCACTGAGGGGCTGAAGTGCCTAGAATTTACATGCATTTTCCTCATGTGAACACTACTACAACTCAGTGTTCATGAAGGTGGAACTAGACTGGCCTTATCTTTTTGCCAACAGAGTTGGTTATATGCAGGAATGGAAGAGATCTTGAAAAATAATCTGGACCACAGGAAACCACCTCTGACAAATGAGATGATCTGCTCATTTTTCAACAGAGAAGAAAATTCCTGAACACCTTCCCTCTGTGAAATATTCTTACATACAACCCAAACCTCTCCAGCTGCAACATAAGCCTATTTTTCTCTTGCTGTCATCCCACAGAAATCAAAACTATTTGCTTATGACTCTAATAGTTAAACACAGTTAGGGTACCCCCAACAGCTGTCTCTAAGTAAACATTTGGTTATCTTATTTTTTAAAGATTCATTTATCTTCTCAGAAATCATTTCTAGTTTTTTTTATCATTATTGTGACTCTTTTCCAAACTTTCTCCAAAATATAACTAAACATGAGAAATTTAAAAGGGGGAAAAACAGGGTTTTAACTAATGCATAACCTGATTTTATATATATACACTATATATATATATAATATATATATATATTATATATATATATATATCTTAAACGTTCCTATATTCTGGACCAAGATTTTTAACTTTTTTAGTCCCAGAAGTTTCTAACAGAGCTGAGCAATAACTATGGCAGTGGTTCTCAATAGGAGCAATTCTGCACCACAGGGAACATTTGGCAATGTCTGGAGACATTTTAATTGTCACACCTGAGGGTGAGGGGAAAGGATGCTACTGGCATGTAGCATGTAGAAGCTTGGGATACTGTTAAACACAAGACAGCCCCTACAATTAAGAATTATAAGGTTCAAAATATTAGTAGTACTGAGGTTGAGAAATCCTGACTTAAAGCAAACGTGGTACAAAAATTTAAAGGGCAAAGAGAGCAAAAGGAAGAAAGGAGAGAAGATACTGACAAGAAAGGTAGTAAAGGAAAGACAGAGTTTTTGTTTATGAGAATTTTTAAAGAATAAAGAGATGAAGAATCACAGCACCTATTTTAAGGGTAACACAACAGTTTTTTCTGATATGATGTGCTATTGTATGAAATAATATCATCTTACCACCCTGAAACTACAGCTTCACATTATTCACTATTGACTGGCCTGGGTCTACAATGACCCAACAGAATTCTAGATTCCTTCTCTCCAGTCTTTTGCAATCTACCCATTTCTTGTAATGATTCACTTATTCCTACAACAACTATTTACTGAGCACCAACTACATGCCAGGCACTAGGGTTACAACAGTGTTGAGCAAAAACTCCCACCAGAGTAGAGATGACATGGGGGCGGGGCGGGGCGGGGGGTTGCTACTGAGGTACCTAGCTTCCTTTGCTGAGTGAATTACTTCACACGTGTTTCTGCTAGCAGACAGGCATCTACTGCACTACTCCAAGTTTTCCAAGTCATTTCGAAGCCAAGACTACAGCCATCCTCGTCACTCTTGCCCAGGCTGATGATACTTGAGTAGGTAAAAGGCACAGTTTCTAGTTCACCAACACGTTCAACAGTGTTCCTCCAAACAGGACAAAGCCTTTCAGCTTCTCCCACTAAGGAAACCTTCTAGAGTGTTAAGAGATAAACTTACAAGGTTATGACAGAAAGCGAAAGGGAAACACAACAACGGGGGAAACTGGAGTCTAAAACAAGCACCTCAAAGGGTAGTGCACCAGAAAACGTCCAACTGAGAATGTATTAAAATGCAGAGAAGACCTGCGGGCACTGCCGCCTGTTCCTCTTGGAGTAAGGAAGCACTCAGCGCAGGGGCACTGGCTTCACACAGTCAGGAGAAACTCCAATCCACCAAAAGAACACTTGAAACGTGGTCTCTTCCCAGAGACTTACAGGGCTAGATAACAGGGTCTCCCACATACCACCTTCCCTGAGGTTTATATGGAAATCCATGGTGGCCAGTGAAACCATAGAAAAGTCTTAGCATTTACTGGGGTCAGCAACATGATGCCAGAAACTGAGCGCAGGAAGAAGGGGTATGGTTCGAAGGGAGAGAAACTGGAGGAAAAAAATTACTGTCCACTCTTTTTCCCTTCTCCTTAAGGGAAAATGTGTGGATAGTACTTTCCCCCAAGGAGGACCCCTGGCAGCTGCACCCATGGACTAAGCATGACTTCCTTGAGGAGCTCACTAGGGGCTGAGCCGGAAGGCAGAGGAAAGAGAAACCCAGAGGGATTGGGGGCGGGGGGGGGGGGGACTGTGGTTAAAGGGGGTTTTAATAAAGGTGGGGAAAGGGGAGTCAGAGAGAGGGAGAGTAACGTTTCCCAAACTTCATGAGCACAGTAGGAGAGTGAGTGGAGGGAAGGGGAGGGAAGGTGGAGGCCCCTAAGAATTCACACCCTGTGCCCTCAGTTACAAACACAGTCTAGTTGCTAACAATATTAAATTCCAAAATGACTTGTAATGTAGGAAAATAAAATAAACATCCTGCACACTTACCCAATCCGGGTAAACAGCTTCCCATGGGCATGGAGAAAACTGAGGATGAACCTTTTGTTCAGCTGCATGGGAAAAAGAGAGAGGAGAAAACAATTAAACTTTCCCCAGTTTCCTGTTACTGAACCGAGTCCCCAGTGACACAATAACCTGGCCAGGGTCTAAGGGGTGGGCACTAGGGATGGGAACCAAATGAACATGCCCAAACTCTCACACAGACCCAGGGCCCATGCCCAACAGCTGCTGCTCAGCTGAGCCAAGAGGACAGCAGGCTCAGTGAGGAGACAGCACCCCCTGCTGGCAGTAGTGCCTGCATGCAGGGAGCGAAGCACTGAGTACCAGCTAAGCTGAGTAGAAACCAAGATGCCTGTCGCCCTCTGCCATCCAGAAGTCACTCTGGCCTCATATGATGGAAATGAAACAGTGGCAAGGGCAAGACAGGAATAATGATGATCCTGCATAAGGCCATACTCTTTCTTACGAGCTGTTTTTCTACCTACCCCGAAAGCAAAATTCTTCTTTGGAAACCAAGGGTAAGGAAACCCACCACTAACTAGCTCATCAAATTGTACTTCTCTGGCTTTTAAAACCAAAGTTAAAACCTTTCTCTCTCTCTCTTTTTCTTCTTTTAAATAAAAACTGAGTGCTGGTCTTTTATGTGAAATCCTCTGGCTTTTAAATGTTAGCTACTAACAAAAAAAAATTTTTTTAAACATTAGGCAAGCCAAAAACACGCATTTGCCAGCCATATCTGGCTCACATCCATGAGTCACCGTATTTGCAATCTCAATTCAAGGTTCTAGAAAATCTACTTTTATCAAAAACTAGGAGAGAGAGTCTTCTGAGCAAAACAAGGGAGGGGAAAAAACTTCAAAGCCAGTAGGAGTAATCTCAAAATCAAACCCTATCATCCTCCCTGGTCTCCTGGAAGAAATGTACTCAGGGCCTTGCAGCCAGACAGGAAGAAGGATCAAGAATCCCTCAAGAGTGGGTGCTTAGGACAAGGAACGGTCGAGCACCCTGGATGCTCTGCCCAAAAGGTTTATACTCTTGCAAAAGAGAAAACCAATCAAATTGTGGCAGTGCCACCAATTTCCCACGGAAACTGAGTGTGAGGAAAGGAGGGCATTCTTACCTAACCAGCGACTTCAACCACAACAGCATGTAATCTTCAGTCTTTCAGTCTTTATTTTTGCTTAAACGAATTACATTTAATCAGCAATACCAGATCAAACATTGAATTCTGGAATTAAAAAGGATACTTTACGGAAGGTAACCTATCTCTATAGAGAGGTGAGTCAGGACCTGGGGGACACTGGGTTCCATGAACAGAAGGGAAAGATGAGGAACTGCTGCAAAACTAACGGCCAATGGTTCTGCCATGGTTAGTGGCAAGGCCTGGGCTAGAACGCAAAGGAAGGTAGTGGAAACTTACCCCTCAAACCTCTGCCACTTACCTGCTACGGGGTCTCGGGCAACAGATGTAACCTCCCTAAGTTTTCCCTTTTACACAATGGAGACACAACAAACGGAACCTCCCAAAGATTTCCCTTCTACATGATGGAGATGACAGTACCCGCCATGCTCAGCATGCTGTAAACACTCAGCTGTCAGCTGGGCGCCCTCTCCCAAGGAGCAGGTGGTAAAATGTTAACTGGAGGGACCGGGTAAAGCAGGAGTTCTTTGTCTTATTCTTATAGCTTTTCCATGGGTATAAGATTATTTCAAAATAGAAAGGTAAAAATATATATATTTCTCCCTATTCCTGTTTTAACTCAATTGTCCCTTTTTCCAGCTGTCAATCATTAACTGGTTAACTCATCCATAACCAGTTATATTTATACATACAAGGTCATTGGATAAATGGTATTAACCCATCTCATTCAAGCCAATTATTATCCCCCAGCCACAACACAGCTCAAAAATTGAAGCAACTTAAACCAGTACATGGCAGAGTTAGAACCTGAACCCAGGTCTTCTGATTTCAAAACAGTTCTCCTCCCCTTAAACTGCCATCTGTCTCAGGAAAAGAACTGGTGAGCTTATTCATGAAGGGCTGATGAGGGAAGAAGCACAACTAAAACAGCAGTTCAGTTTTATCTTCAAATTTTCGTTACTGATTAGGTAGGAAACATACTGCATGACCCACAATGCCTCCTGCAATAAAATGAGTGCCCCATGGGGTCTTTTAATACTGTGATTCTAGCTACATATTTCCCAAAGATCTTACCCTCAGGGTAGCAGATGACTCCGACTTTACCTGAGTTCATACCTGCCATGAGTGTATTTTAACTGTATCCAGTAAAAAGCGGATTTCAATGCATTGTTTCTCAACTAGTGATAGTGAAGGCAATCCTAGCAAACTCAAACTACACACACATTCTCTCTGACCTTGGTTAATGAGAACCACTGCTTTATTTTTAGTATGAAAGTACCTGCTACCCTAAATATAGTTTCTATTTGTCACCAACATTCTGAGCAGGAAAGGAGCTAAAATGTAGATACATTCTAGAGAGAGGTAAAGCATGCTATTCTGAGGAAGTGGATTTGTTACACGTTGATTAAAACGGGACTAAGCGTCATCGTAGATATCAACGTGAAGTCACCAAGTGCTAAGGCAGAACTTGAGGACAACTTAACTGACACAGAGTCAGACATGACTGAGCGACTGAACTGAACTGAACTGACACCAAGTCCACAGGAAGGACGGCCTCAGTCTGAGCTTCCTCTCTCCAACACATCACCCTGGACTGGCCTCATGTTTGGAACTTCTCGGTTCTTAACAGGACACTCGGATGGTCTCCTTCAGGTGGAGAAAGAACCGTTTCTCCTCATGTGGTGAGGCTATCTGTCTCCAGATCTTCCTTGTGCAATTACATACTGTTCACCAGAAACCAGAAATGCTTCTTGGGTGTAGCCCTGAGAGAAGGTGTTAGTTATTAAAGGGTGCCTGGCTCTTTGGTTCAAAGTCCAAAACCAACTCACTGTGGACACCTAAGTCGTCTATACCACCTGAAAGAGACACTAACGGTGGGTAGGACACTCAGTAAAGTCTACCCGGCCATTAACCATGGGATTATGAGTTAAAATGGCTCGGGTTGTTCCTAAACTATAAAATGGAATTTCTACCACTGATGTCACCTAACTCAGAGCTGAAAGGATAAAATGAAATAATACAGATTAAAGCATTCTGAGGAGTAAATGTCTTATGCCTGCCCTGGTTATCAGCACTCAGAACTGCCTAAGTGCTCTGTGAACTGCTGAGCAAGGAAGGAGAAAGAAGCTGCTGAGAGGCAGCAAGGTATCACCAAAGGAGAGGCCTCTGAAATATGCCCAGTTTCAATTCCAAAGAGCTGTTTCTCTTTCAAAAGAGCTGTATGGAAAACTGAATATCTGAAAAGTGAATCATTTTAAGGACAGTAGGAGAAAACTTGGTATTAAGAGGAACTCCAGCATGCATCTTAAGAGGGTGTGGGGAAATATAAACTATCACTCTCTAATTTATCCATCTGGAATGTCTCTACTTTTACATACCAAGTATTAAAAATTAAAAAAAAAAAAAAACTTCGTTGTGTTTTAAAAGGGGGCTCTATACTCTTAGACATGACACAACATGGGTGAAGGCCAAGTTTCAATGGTACCTGTTAGAAATAGTCAAGGACTCTCAGAGCCTGCCATCAAAGCCCAGTCATCACCTCCCAAAGTGCTCAGATTACAAGGTGGAGAGGACTGACAGCACAGAGATGAAGCTGCCCTTCACCCCAGCGCCCCTGCCAGGCACAAGCAAGAGCAGACTAACAAGACAGGGTCCTGTCAACCTGTCAGGATGGCCGAGTGGTCTAAGGCGCCAGACTCAAGCTCGAACAAGACAGGGTCCTCAAAGCCAAAAACTTGCAGTCCAAGAATAAAAGGTAAGCAAATAACATATGAACATGCCACCTCCCCATTTATGCCCTGAAACCTAGGACAAGGCCTTCTGACTATGAAGGTGACAGGAGGACTGTGTTTTCCTTACTGTCACTTTCCCTCGGGCAGAAAAGTCTGTGGCAGGGAGATCTAAGAAGATGAAAGAGAAAGTGAGGATGTAGAATGTGGAAGCCGATGGATAAGTCCGCAATGTAACCACCATACAGTAGGAACAAAATTGTTCATTAGAACGTCCAGGATTCCTCTTTCCAGGATATAGATGACGAACAATGCAAAGGCAAGTCAGGTGGCAAGACTCAGATGCCTTGCAGGGACAAGACAGAGCAAACCACAAAATTAATCCTCAAATCCCAAAGAGCCCCGCCGAGACGGAGGTGGAACAGGTATGGTGAATCACTCCTCACCTTCAGTTTCTTCTCCCCTGAACCGTTCTGGGCAGGATGACAGCTCAATTAGCTCTAATTAAGCCCAAGCTCCATGTAGCGATGTCTTACTTAAATGGCTGGATTGGAGCCATGTGAACTCAAGTGTAAAACATGCCTCTTAAAACTAGGGACCCCTTCAAACAACGGTTCTCACTCTCACACAGCAGCTTAGTGCTGCCTCAACAAAGTCTTACATGAAAGCAATTTAGTTGCTATTGCTTCATTATCTCCCCTACTTAGAGCCAGAAGACCAGAGGGAAATGGGGCTAAACGGCCAATCAGCAGTCAGCTCCAGAAAACCCAGTGAGCAGGGGGACAGCCGAGCTCAGGGTACCGGCTGGCTCTCGGGAGGGTGACTGGCACTAGGTCTAAAGAAAAGAGAAAGAATCATGCATCTGTGACTATTCTGTATTTATGGCTTATTTGTTTACGGGTGTAGGAAGTGGTATATAACAGTTTGAACAAAGACCACTGAACTGGGTTCAAGACCTGGGTTTGAATTTCGGTTATGCCATTCATTTGCTATATATAACTGTCGACGAGTCACATAAAATTTCTAAGGCTCTTTCTTCAACGGTAAGATGAGAAGGCTGTGGAGGAAGACAATCTACTCTAGTATTCTTGCCTGGAAAATCCCATGGACAGTTGGGACAATCCCTGCAGTCCATGGGGTCATAAAGAGCTGGACGTGACTGGACAACTGAGAACACACA